TATATTTGTTTTGTTTTGTTTTGTTTTGTTTTGTTTTGTTTTGTTTTGTTTTGTTTTGTTTTGTTTTTGCAGTTCCAGGGTTTGAACTCAGGACCTTGTATTTGCCAAGCTAGTGCTTATTCTACTGAGCTGTCTCCCCGGCCCCCAAATACATATTTATGCGTGTGTCATGGAATGCTCTATTCTTCAAAAGAAGGCTATTTTATCACTTGTGGCAACAAGTGAGGAGATGAAATAAAGCCCTGCTCAGAAGGGTTAAGTACTGTGTGCTTTCACACATATGTAGAGTCTATAATGCCAAGCTTTAACTTTAATAAAAGTATTTTTCTTACCAAATATCCATTTTTAGAGCTGTTCCTTTTCCCAAATCTTACTTTTATTATGGTGAACTATAGAGTTAATGTGTATCTAACAAGATTTTCATAGAACAAAAATTGCATTAACATTTATAACGTAGGGAGAAGACTCACAGAGCTTGTGTGAAAATAGTCAACAGAGCTACCATTTGTGAATGCATTAATGGAGACCAACCTGCACCAGCACACTGACCACTCTTGGAAGACAGTGATAACATCTGCCTGCTTTTGCTTACTGAACTCATCCTTGTACTATACATGCACACTGATGATAAATTTAAAAAATAAGTTAACATGGTAAGAATAGATTTTGAGCATATTAACACTCATTGAACAAAATTTTGGTACATATCTTCTATAATAATAGATAGAAAATGAGTATTTTTTAAATGTGGCTTTAAAATTATATATTGCAATGAGCACTTTCACTAGGAATTAATGCTATTAATATAAATGAATAAATGAATCCCATACACATCACTCTTTTCAATGATGCAGCTTTTATTTATAAAGAAAGCAGGCTTGATACCACATACATTTCAGAATGACAGTTACCTTCCACTAGTTAATCTACAATTCTGCCACTAAAATCCAGCTATGAATGAAAATTTGATCAACAACATAGAGTCTGATTAATGTTCGTTGAGAAATGGCATGAAATGGAGAAGCTGAAGTGGATAACCTAGGGCAGTCAAGGCAGAATTGCCCCCTCTCTTCAGTAATTTAAGACCAAAAGGAAATACAATTTATTTTTCCCAAACTTCAGATCTTATAGTGTTTTTGAACAGATTCAGAAATCCATTGATTGTAGGCATGTATTACGTTTTATAATTTAAATCAGTATGACCTAACATTTACGATGCTGAAATTCTAAGATTGCCCAGGGAGTGCTTTTTAAACAAGTACCCAGATATATCCCTACCTTTTTGAATTCTTGACACAGGAGATCATAGATATATATGCTTTTTGTTATAGTAATCAAGTAACATATTTTTATTTATCTTTGAAAAATTTCTGCAATTACAAGTTCCAAAGTATTGAGATGCATTATCCTACTGCCAAATTAAGAATAGACTGCAATGAAGAAAAAACATTTAACATTTCATTGGTTGAAATATTTATGGTTATAAATGATGCTAGGCTTTTATTAGCAAGTGCACAATCAATAAAATAATATTCCAAAGTTTCATTAAAAATTCAACAGAGAATAACTATCCTTCAGTCACATATTTTCAGGGGAAAGATCTTTGAGCATCTTATAGCCCATCTTATATTCCACAGAAAGCTTTCCAGGTTGACTTGTAATTTCATGCTCTGATTAGGATTTCAGTTGATTGTAGGATCCACAGCAAGATAGAATTACAATAAAAGCCACAAGTATATGTATATCAGCAAAATTCAGCAGTTACCATAATGAGAAAATTTTAATTCTCCTTTACTTTCTCTGTGAATAAAAAAGATAGGAAAGGAAAAACACAAATTACTAAAAGAACATGCTAAATTCCTTATGTTGCATAAAACACTAATGAAGAAGACATGTGTGTGTCTTCGTGGGTACAAGAGTGGGCCTGGGTATAATCTATGTTACAGTTCCACAAGCAGCTGTCCTACCTGTTCCTACTGTTAAAGAAGTCTACCTTGCTGCTATCTGGGAAGACTGGACCCTTCCTACAGTACTTACCCTATGCTGACTGACTTTGGATCTACCAGTTCTCATTCACTCCTAGGACCTGCTCTAAAAAGAAGAGCAGACATTGTCTTAATGGTTCTCCTGGATTTTATGATTAAACACACAAAAATTCTATGGGAAGACCACATGTTGTGAAAAAATGTTGAGGGAGGTGAAAAGTCTTAGTGAACATTCAACCTGCAAACTCTTCAGAATGAAGGAATGAGGAAGGGGTGTTGGGGAGGAGAACTTCATCTCCCTGCATTGAAAAGAGAGCTTGGAGGCTGGCCTACCACCAAGTTTGGGGGACAAAGTGGATCACTGGAGAATCCTCCACAGTGTCAGTAGACACACTGTGATGGATTTTAGAACTCTACCATGAGATTTCTCACTCAGTTATGCTCCCTACAGCATGGTGTTCCATCACACAGATTACCATTTGGCATCTGCACCTAGGAATTATAGTGATCACCTGCTTCCACAAGTAATTCCTAATAACTAAAGCAGGTTAAATTAATTGATTTAAAATTCAAAGCTTATATGCTAGAACTATTCTGAAGGGTCAAATACAAACTTATTTTTCTACATGAGAACTGTGAAAACTGTTACTCAAGTGTTCTTGTAATTTTATAGAATGAGCATGCTCCACAGACGTTATGTCTGGGTTGTCAGAAGATAGGTGGGGCATCACGGCTGACAGTCCTGTCATGACTTTGGAGGATTCAAGATTTAGGCTTGTGTTCTTACAACATGTAGCTGCAGAAAACGCATGTATTGCCATAATCGCGGCCATCACTTCCACAGATGGGATACATCCGTCGGTTGCACTGATGTAGGCGACCTGCGTACCTTGAGCAGTCTGGCTGAAACACATAAGGTGGCAACATAAAACTTATCACGTAAATATCTTTTTAGCATAATATTCTTATTCTTTATAAAAATGGCATACATTTAAATGGAAGAAATATATCCAATATTAATCTTTAAAACTAAATATTGAAGTAAGTGCCACTCAATTCATCATGACATGCTACTGAAACATTTTCCAAACTAAGTTTTTTTTAAAAAAAAATCTATACAAATCTCTGAGTGTATTGTTTATAACTTGTGTGGTCTGCTAGAATTTCTCTTCATACTCAGGTCAAATCTCCCTTGTTATACTATAAGAAATAATGAAATTTTTATTTTTAATTCTTCTCTTTCTCAATAACTTCAGTGTACATGTATATATACTAAAATATTTTGAACACGAGTGACTTTGCATATATGTGTAAACTCACATGTAAATATATACATACATACACATAATTTTAGTGGTGGTAATACTGGTATTTGACAGGACAATATATGTATGTATTCTGCTAAATTTGCTTTTCAAATTCTTTGTAACATTTTTTCAGTTAGAGTCATATTTTATTTTTCTTCATATGTGTGCAATATTAAACACCTTGAATATTTGAAAATAATAATTTAATCCATCCTTAAATGTATAATTGGGTGCAGATTTTCTCATCTTCTTGTTTTCATAAGGTAAATGATTCTACTATAAACATCCATTAGAAAAATTATTTGGTTGAGTATGATTTTTTTATTTTAAGGAGGATAAAAACAAAAGCAAATAACCAAAACAAAGCAACATAGAACATAAAAATGGCACAGAATTTCAAAACAAGAATAGAAAATTAACAATGGTTGTTATATTATGTACTGCTATCATGAAATTTGTTGCTGAGATTAGCAAATAGAGGCATGTCAGATCAATCAAGCAATTAAACATTAACTCTTCCTTTCACTAAACCTTAGTTTTTTTGCCCTTTTTACTTTTTATTTTTTAATGTATTTTAAAGATAGTATGGAAGTTTAATATATATATATTTTAGTTATCATACTCTGAAAAAATAGATTGAAGAGGACTTCAGAAAATAGAAAGATATTCCTTACTCCTGGCAAGGAAGACACAATATTTGAAAATGGCCATACTCCCAAAATTGTGGTAGGCCTGCCGGTTAGCTCAGTTGTTTAAGTTCCTACTCATGCAAACCCAGTCAGGTGCAGAATACTGCAGTTCAGTCTCCAGACCCACCTGCATTACCAGACCTGCCCTTCAGGCAGCCTGAGCTACAAAAAAGAAAAGCCTTCCAGGTGCATAAAATTGCAATTCATTCCACTCTTATCTCAAGAAATTCTACCAGACCAGCCCTTAAAGGCAACCTGAAGCAACCAAAACAACAAAAACAAAAAACTTCTTCCCTAAATTGTTATACAAATTTAATGCAATCCTTATCAAAATACTATCAGCCTACCTCCTCTGTTTCTCTAGAACAGATCTAGAGAAAACAATCCTAAAATTCATTTTGAACAAGAAAATACTTAGAATAGCAAACAGAATCCTGGTCACCGAATGCAAGGCAGGGGGCATTACAATTCCTGACTTGAAATTATACTTACAAAGCTATTATGATAAGATTTTGAAAAGAAAAGATTTATGCCTTTTAATGGAAAGTTTGGATGGAATAATTTTACCTTATATATAATACCAAATAGTTTTATATAACTTTTGTGAACTAATAATATTCAGTTTTAAAGTTTTTGTTTTTGTTCTGCTTTTTTTTTTGTTTTAGCTTCCTTTTTGTTCTACTTTTGTTTTATTCTTTTAAAAATCACTATTCCATTTTTAATTTTTTTTCTTTTTTATATATTTAGTACAGGGTCTACAGGGTCTCACTACACAAATAAGACTTGTAGGGATCCTTCCTGTTTTTCAGCCTCCCAAGTGCTGGGATTACAGGTGCACGCTACCACGCCCAGTCTCAATCACCATCTCAGCAAGCCCCAGCCCCTGTGTCTGCCTAAGCAGGTGCTTTAATCCACTGAGCTATCTGGTCTGCCCTAAAATCATTATTCTTTTAAAGATTAAATTTTCTTTCATGAAATTTTCTATTAGGATTTACAATAAAATAGCAAAAATTTTACCTTTTTTAACCTCCACATTAATCAACATTAACTTACCTCATCAGAACCCATTTCTACTTGTGCAAAAACGGTTTCTGTAGGCAGAACAAAAACAAAAACTTTAAAACTGAATAAAAATGACAAAATCATATTTAAGATGTGAGACATGGGTTTTTAGCATCACAATACAAATTGCTTACTTGAAAATGAGGAGGTGAGTTCTATAAATGTAATAAGACAATATATTTATAGACTAACTTCAATTTGTGAAGAATTTTATAATACCCCAATTAATATCATTTTTTGAAAATAATTGTATATACTTTTTGTTAATTTCCAAAGCTTTTCTTTGGTGAAACTGTACTGTTTTATTCAATATATAAGAGAGAGAAAATAATAGCTTTGATAGTTACTTAATATGCCTTGCATAAAATGACATTATATCAAGAAATATATTAGTATTTAGTTAATAGAGCTGTAGTATCTTGCATCTATACAATAGGTTGCATTTATTTTATTCCCAATGGCTGAGCCACCTTGTGCGTAAGGAAGACAGTTTGTCAGAGGAAGGGTTAGTGAGTTTGCTCCTTACACAAGGCCTTGACATACAGGGCTCTGCTGGCAAGCAGCAAGTGAGTTTATTGAAGGCATAGCACTCCCGAAAGGCTTCATCATTCCCGTACTTTGTGTTTCACAGCATGGAATCACACTTCCACATGGAGAATTAGGGAAGAAGGCAAATATGTTTAGTCAAAGACGAATAAAAGTTTAGGGTGTATAGGAGAGAGAGAGAGAGAGAGAGAGAGAGAGAGAGAGAGAGAGAGAG